TTGTGTTGTTTACTTTTATTTTCTAATAGCTCTTCGCCTCCAATGACCATTCTAAAGTAAAAGAACATGAACCATCAGTTCTTAATGAGTTTGATCCCTCTGATGGACTCTAATGGATTTGGCACTTAGAAAAAAATATGAACATTTTAGTTTGACCTAAATTTGGCGAAGTGTGATCTGAAGCAAAGAAACAGTTTGGTTTTTAAAGCAGTCTAGATAAATATGTAGTTTTAATTGTATTGCATAGCTTTAGTTCTCAGGCTCCTCTCTGAGGAGCAGTTTTAGTCTGTGAGGCAGACAACTTGTCTGTTTCTCAGTCTGTGTACTTGTGCGTCCTCGTGTGCTCGTGAAATTTCATCAGCCTCAGCCCTATTACTGTCCCAATTCTCTAAAACAAGTAGATCGAGAACGGACAAAATCGCCGGATGTTGTTCTCACCCTCCCTCTTTACCCAGCATGCACTGCGGCAGCAGCAGCTTCCAGGTTAGCGCTCACAGAGCTCAGAGTATTAAGTTAAACGTTCTCTTTTCTGTTGCTGTTGTTCAATAAAAGTATGTGTTAAAATCATTTGAGGCGAGAAAATTAAGCATAACTATATGGCCCATTTACCTATTTAATGCGTTATTTAAAAAAAAAGTTCTGACGTTGAGAGGACCGCTGCAACCAGCGGACCTCCGAGGGCAACCACAGCCAGGGCCAACGTTAGCCCCTCTGCAGCAGCCAGGCCTAACGTTAGCCCGTCTGCAGCAGCCAGGGCCAACGTTAGCCCGTCTGCAGCAGCCAGGGCCAACGTTAGCCCGTCTGCAGCAGCCAGGGCTAACGTTAGCCCGTCTGCAGCAGCCAGGGCCAACGTTAGCCCGTCTGCAGCAGCCAGGGCCAACGTTAGCCCGTCTGCAGCAGCCAGGGCCAACGTTAGTCCGTCTGCAGCAGCCAGGGCCAAGGTTAGCCCGTCTGCAGCAGCCAGGGCTAACGTTAGTCCGTCTGCAGCAGCCAGGGCCAACGTTAGTCCGTCTGCAGCAGCCAGGGCCAAGGTTAGCCCGTCTGCAGCAGCCAGGGCTAACGTTAGTCCGTCTGCAGCAGCCAGGGCTAACGTTAGCCCATCTGCAGCAGCCAGGGCCAACGTTAGCCTGTCTGCAGCAGCCAGGGCTAACGTTAGTCCGTCTGCAGCAGCCAGGGTTAACGTTAGCCCGTCTGCAGCAGCCAGGGTTAACGTTAGCCCGTCTGCAGCAGCCAGGGCCAACGTTAGCCCGTCTGTAGCAGCCAGGGTTAACGTTAGCCTGTCTGCAGCAGCCAGGGTTAACGTTAGCCTGTCTGCAGCAGCCCTCTCTATACATAGCTGTATGAAAAGTACCGCTGAATCTGATGCCGGTTTGATTTTTGTATTTAGCAAACCATTTATTTGATTTGTTTTTATCTGCCTGTGTTAAGACTTATTCCCTCACCAAATAAAAAAGTCATAATTTATTTTTCACTAGAGACTATTAATAACAGGAGGTGAAATGCAGCTCCAGACTGATTTGAATGCTGTGATGTCATCAGTACACTTCTGTTCCAATTGACCCAGATTTATTCTGTGTTTTCCCCAGATCCACACTTTGCATACTTGGCGAGGTCATTAGTCTGTACTTGCGTTCTTGTGAATTGAGAAACGGCCCGTCTACTTTTAAGGCTAGGCTTAAAACTTTCCTTTTTGATAAAGCTTCTAGTTAGAGTGGCTCAGGTTATCCTGAGCTATCTGTATAGTTCTGCTGCTATAGGCTTAGACTGCTGGAGGACATAGGGACCCCTTTTTCATCATTCTGCTTCATTCTATCTCTATTCTCCCACTCTGCAGAATCTGTTAGTTCAATCTCTAATGTTCTGCTCTCTCTGCTTTTTCTCATAGTAGCTTCATCTGGTTTGTTTCTTAAACAAAACCTCCAACTTTAGGTTGAAATTTATTCCCACGATGAGTCTATGTCTGACTGGAGCTTTCAAGAGGTAAGAAAACATTGGGAAATTAATCTGAAAATCCAAATGTCTATAAATAAAAGTGTTCTTTTCAAAAGGGCTAAACCTATGAAAACAAATAAACAGATCTGATTCGATCCTGCAGCCTTCAATACTTTAAAGAATGTGTCAAAACTTTGATGTAACTGTGGATTGTACTGGGAGAACATTCTTTACGCTGTACCGCCTATGTTTAACGTGTGGGAGAAGAGAAGAGGTCAGCTAGCCCTAAGAGAGCTATGCTGCTGATGTGGGTGGCAATTTGGCTCCAGACAGAGATCCCGTTATAAACAGGACCCCTTATATGGCCTCAATTCCCTCATGTGCTCCTTCAATCCAGCTCAGACTTTGCCTGGTTTTTATCTGAAGGTCACAGCAACCAGCGGAGTCCCTGTGATGAATACTTGATGTTTTTACCTTTTGAAATGAAAAGTTTAACATTTATAGCCGCTGGGCCACAGAAAGGCAGCGGCTGACTGTGAATATGGAACAAATCTCCTGAGAAACATGGAACTCTGGAAAACACCGTTTTCAGGGAGGAAATACGATGTTAAAACGACGCGCAGCTGCCAAAGAGCAAATGAGAAAAACAATACTGGAAACTAAAAAGGATGTAAACAGTATGGATGCAGAGGTCAGCCTACATCAGCATAATGTAAACAAGAAATCAAAAATTAAACTCTAAAAGACTAGATTTATGTTTAAATCCAAAGCCGAAAAAGTTAGCTCCTGGAAGTTGCGTAGGATCCCATTTACAGCACAGATTGGGCACAGAAGAGTTATAAAACAGAAAGGATTTAAAAACATTTATTTTCTCAGGAAATACATTATTATAACATATTAAAGTTTAGTACGATTACTATTTTTAAGGAGGGAAAATGTAATTTAGGTATTTTTTACAACGTAAAATTGTGGGCGACCTGATTGTATATCTGGTTACAAAAATGATTTGACGGTATGGATGGCGATAACGTTACCGATCGTGCTACTGGTACGGATGGTGCTACCGTTAGCCGATCGTGCCACTGGTACGGATGGTGCTACCGATCGCGCCACTGGTACGGATGGTGCTACCGTTACCGATCGCGCCACTGGTACGGATGGTGCTACCGTTACCGATCGCGCCACTGGTACGGATGGTGCTACCTATATCAATCGTGCTACTGGTACGGATGGTTCTACCATTACCGATCGTGCCACTGGTACGGATGGTGCTACGTTACCGATCGTGCCACTGGTACAGATGGTACTGGTACGGATGGTGCTACCGTTACCGATGGTGCTACTGGTACCGATGGTGCTACCGTTACCGATGGTGCTACTGGTACCGATGGTGCTACCGTTACTGATCGTGCTACTGGTACGGATGGTGCTACCGTTACCGATCGTGCCACTGGTACAGATGCTACTGGTACGGAGGGTGCTACCATTACCGATGGTGCTACTGGTACCGATGGTGCTACCGTTACCGATCGTGCTACTGGTACGGATGGTGATACTGATTGTGCTACTGGTACAGATGGAGCTACCTCTATCAATCGTGCTACTGGTATGGATGGTGCTACCGTTACCGATCGTGCCACTGGTACAGATGGTACTGGTACGGATGGTGCTGCCGTTACCGATCGCGCTACTGGTACGGATGGTGCTACCGTTACCGATTGCGCTACTGGTACCGATGGTGCTACCGTTACCGATCGCGCTACTGGTACGGATGGTGATACTGATCGTGCTACTGGTACAGATGGAGCTACCTATATCAATTGTGCTACTGGTATGCATGGTGCTACCGTTACCGATCGTGCCACTGGTACAGATGGTACTGGTACGGATGGTGCTACCATTACCGATCGCGCTACTGGTACGGATGGTGCTACCGTTACCGATCGTGCTACTGGTACGGATGGTGATACAAGTATGGATTATCATAACGGCTCAGATCATGCTGGCGTATGGATTGGGGTATGATACAGATTGTTATTAATGTGAAAAAGAGGGAACTGGACAGAAAATTTGCTTCTAAGTTGCTCAAATCGACAAGGAGACCTTTTATAAATTATTACCTTATGTTTTTAAAGCTTACTGACAGTATATGTTCTGTGTTTTTGACCCAAAGAAAACTTCTTTATTTTTTAAGTCTAGTGCAGCATGTCTAACTTTAGTCATCCATCCTTTAGCAAATCATTTTTATTTATTTCTAAATCCAGGTTTTTGACTGCATGGTGGGTTCTAGTAAACCCAGATCTGAGACTTATAATAAACTGATATCGCATTGAAACAGCGGCTGATCTGCTTTGTACTGATTTCTTTTTGATTGATTTTATCAACCCTTTATGTAACCAGATAAAATCGACTCGCTGAGACCGAGGTCTCCGGTTCAAACTTTTTTGTGTTCTTACATTTGCATGCTGACTTAAAACAACTAAATGTAACACTAAAGCTCAGTTTGCAACATGCAAATAATGCATGTTACTCCCTGACGCTGTGACTGATAAGGGTCATCCTCAGAACAAACAAGCGTGGCACCGAGACACAGAGACACACAGACGGGCTCTCTGCCGTCCCACCTGGGGGAATAAAGCGACACGTCACCGACTGCCCGAGCGGCAGTCAGGGCTGTTATAATACATACTGGCTGCCGTAGCAACAACAGCGAGGACCTCCTCTGAATCTGGTGGGTGGAGATGACACCTGCTCAGTGTTTTTTTATCATCACTTTGATAACCGAGGTCTTAAGTTTCTTATCTTCGGTGCAACGAGGATCCATCGCATCAAACTGTTTATAATGGAGCCATAATTTATGTGTGTTTATATAAATATGAAGATGGATCAGCACATCATTTCATCTACTGCTGTTAGAAGCTTTTTTGTGAAGGAACTATGGTAGCAAAGGAAGGCTCTGCATAAACAGATGGTGATCAGGTGGTATTCTGCCGACAGAAACCTGCTTTCTGCCAGAGGAAAATCTATGTGATGAGCAGACAGAGATCCTGCATGCAGAGGGGGCTGACCTAGGTTATCGGTGACTTCATACATGTCGTGGAAGTCTTTCATCCTTAAGCCAATGACGTCCACAAAGTCCTCCATGAGACGGAAGAGCTCTTTGATGTTCGGCCCCAGCTGAGAAGAAAGAGACAAGAGTTAGAAAAAACAAACAACAACAACTTTCTGTTTTTGCAGAAACACTGAAGGCAAACATTGTCCCACAGCTGGACGTGGACGGAGGGGCTCAGTGTGTCCTTCATCAAACTCACAGCAGCATTTACTTCTGCTTGTTGCTTTCAGTCACAATCACTGCTTTTTTTTGGCATTTATTTAAACCCAAATTTCTTCTGTTGGTTCTTTTCATTTATTTTAGAAAAGTTTATATTTTCGCCAGGTTTCTCTTTTTTCTGGAAACCAGCTCAAAGCTGTCAACCCTTGTTGGTAAGGAGAGTGTATACAGTGAGGATTTGAACACCTTGCTGTTTTGCATGGTCTCCCCCTTAGAAATCATGGAGGGCTCTGGAATGGTCATCATAGGTGCATGTCCACTGTCTACAAAAAAAAATAAAAAAATCCAGAAATCACAATGTATGATTTTTCTAACTATTTATTTGTTTGATACTGCCATGATCTTGGAGTTGATGACTGATTTAATTACTCATTTCTTTCACCTGTCTAACCTGGTTTCCAATTACTGCTCATCTGATCCACCTGCTCCTGCCTCTATTTCAGGAGCTTGCATCCAGTCATCAGAGTCATTATTAGTCTTGTTCTCTCTAGTCAGTGGCGAGAGTGTTTTTCCTTGGTGTTTTTGATTCCATGATCCTAACCCGTTCTGCCTCTCAACCTCTGGGCCTGTATGTTAATGTGCTGATCTGTTTGCCTGAACTGTCTTTGGACTCCTGGACCTTTTCCTGTTCTGATCTGTTTCCCTGACCTGGCTTGGGACTTCTGCATGTTCTCCGGGGCTGCAGCAGCTGGGACACTCTGGGCGGCGCCCGCCGCATCTTGTTGGCCCACCGGCTGGATCCTAGGTCATTCTCTGGGCATGGATAGCGACTCACAATGATAATCATCTTCCGACACGTTATCATGGTCACTTACCTATGTTTCTCTTCTGCAGAGATTCCAGCCTTAGATGCCCGAGCAGCTGCTACTCCACTCCGTGTTTTAAAGAAATGCTTTTTGAGTTATCCCACTTTCTGTCTGGCCTTGAATACTGGGTCCTCTGTTCTGCAAATAAGCATTTAAACACCTGTCTATCAGCTAGAACTCTGACCTTCAAAGACCAGTCTGTCTTCAAAATGTTAATCTCCACTCCAGTTATTATCCTAAATAAGATGGACCTGTTTGAGGTTGTTAGCTGCATAAAGACACCTGTCCACCCCATACAATCAGTAGAAATCCAACTACTAACATGTCAAAGACCAAAGAGCTGTCCAAAGGCTCTAGAAACAAAATTTAACACCTCCTTAAAGTCGTAGGGAAGCGGCTGTTCCAAACGTTGCATTTGCGAATTCTCCCGAGTGGTGCCCGACTTTACACGAGTGAATAAAGGGACGTTTATCAAAGGGGCGGGATTCTTGTGGTGGAAGGTTCGCAAGCAAGTTTGATTGTGGCCGGGTTGTCGGAAGCATCTTGCTAACCAGTTAGCAACTTAGTGCTAGTAGGTTCCCAATGGGAAATTCCATTGGGACCAAGTAGCACTAAAGTGGTGACTAAGAAACGACACTGTCAAGGAACGCTATGGACAGCGGACTCCGTCATCCATTTTTTATTTAGAGGAGGAAAGCGGGGACGAAGATGTTGTGGAAGAGGACGCCAGGGCGGCAGAAGCTTGGTTTGGTGTAGAAGGCTTCCAGCCGTCCATGTTTGAGCCCTTGCCTCGCAACGCTGCCAGTTCTGTTAGCTCTACGCCTGCTGAAGACACAGACGTCCATCCCCGTGAACACTGGGACGCAACTCAATGGGAAAGGAAAGGATTCTGATTTCAACAGAAATATAACGAAAAAAAACACAGATTTTAAGACGGAAATTTTTTAATTAGACATTTTCTAACTTTTGGGACAATATGGTCTGATAATAAATACATTTATATACATGTTTAAGCCAGAATGATTTGAAATTTAAATATGACTTTCGTATGAGTTTAAAACCTGGAAACAGCTATGGGGAAGTTAATATGCAGCTTGGTGAAAAAAGGTCCACTGCTGGTGAATTATAAAATGGAAGAAGCTAAACATGACTGTAAATCTCCCTCAGACTGGGGCTCCATGCAAGGTCTCACCTGGTGGGGCCTCAATGATCCTAAGAATGGTGAGAAATCAGCCCAGAACTACACGGGAGGAACTGCTCAATGACCTGTAAAGAGCTGGGACCACCGTTTCCATGGTCAATGATGATAATACATACACAATGCTTAATGTTGGGGTGTTTTTCTGCACATGGGACAGGGCGACTGCGCTGTATTAAAGGAGAGTATGAACAGGGCCGTGAATTGGGAGATTTTGGGGAACAACCTCCTTCCCTCAGTTAGAGCATTGAAGATGGGTGGAGGCTGGGTATTCCAGCTTCACAATGACTGGATTTTACTGGACGTCTGACCTTAATGTGGACAAGCAACAGAAAAGAAGCAGCAGAAGCTTCTTTGATGGTGAAATCACATTGTGAACGTATTATTAGACTTTCTGATTGTTTGAATTAACCTATGAAACATAATATAGTGGCAAAAAATGATCTCATGTCTTCCTTATGAAATGTCCACCTCTAGACAAGCTCACCATTCCACCTCAACATGTAGGAAATAGTATTTCAGAGTCTAAATTTCTACATTTTACTGGGGGAGGATACCCCTGACCCCCCTATGCCACGCAGAGCCTAAAGTGTACACCCCATAAAATATTTCTAGCTTAGAGCCTGCCCATTATTCTTGTCTTCTCACTGGGGTCTGGATTACTTTGACCTTTCTCCTCTTTGTCATCAGGAACCAAACACAGGGTTCAGGTGAGGTTAAGTTCTGGGGTTTCAGGTCTGAATCGTCCATGTTCTGATGTTTTTGCCTGGTGACATGGCGCTCTATCTGACTGGAAGATCACCAAACCCTTCATGAACTGGTGCACGCTGCTGCTGCTGCCGCCTGTTGTCTTTCTGGATGGTTCAAAACGGCCCTTCCCAGTCAAAGCTAGCCGAATGGCAGCCAACTGCCCTGTGACTCCCAGCAAAATCCCCTACAACTTCCAGCCACCGCAGTGACCCCCCCTCTTGCATATCGTTACTCTGACTCCACCCTTTCACTGAATTACAGGGTCTGACCAGGAGATGACGCTTCTCTTTAGATCTTAATGTCCACAAATCATGACAGAAAGAATATTTTAGTGCAGATATTGATGTTAAAAAGGAATTGTAGGGGACCAGCCAAGGACAAGCCAAGGGCCCATCAAGGAAAGAGGGGACATTTTGACTGGCTACTACTGTAACAGAGGAGTAGAACTCCCCCACATTGATCATATCCAGAGGATTCATTACTTTGAGATGACCCAAAAGGTTTTTTACAGAGATGGACTCTGAAGAGGCCTTCACTCCTGCTGGAAACCATGGTAAAACCTGCTGAACCTCCTAGGACGTCTAAAAGTCCCTCAGTAAAATAAGCGAAAGTTTATTTTGGTTGCTGCTTAGCTTGGATGCCTAGCGATGATTTCTGCATGTTGTTCATAGGAGGGAGCAATGGTTCATCAGGAAGATCTGGATAAATCTCAATGATAAAAGGAATTCCCACATCTGGTTTGCCTTTCCATGGAAGAACTTTCTCCTCCCTAAGAATGAAGATTCCTTGGCTGTGTCCTTCAGAAATGTTTATCACAAAGTTTCCCCTAAGACTCTGCTGGAAGCTACATGAAGCTAAATCAAAATAAACTCTTTGGTTTAGAAAACTAAAGGCAGTTATTAAGAGGCTTCAGAGGCCAGCTGGTTTCCTCTGCTCTCCTCTCCCACCTGCACGGTGACAGTCCTGGCACAGCCACCTACATACGGATGAATGCAGCAGATGGAGGAGTGGGCGTTTGCCTTGACTCAGCTCCTCATTAGCTGAGCTATTTCTGTCTCCTCGTCCGTCCTTTCTACTAACCACTGTCTGTCTGAGAAGACACAGGTGGGCTGTTGTGACATAGCGTCACTCATCAGCCTCGGGGTTATTACTGAGCACGGGGTTCAGCAGGGGAGGGAACGACACACCATGTAGAGCTGCTTTAGGAGGAGGGACGTTCCTACCAGCTGAGCTTCCTCCCATCTGTCCTGGTTCTCCTCCATCAGCAGATTGCTCACCGACTGCACAAAGTTCTGCAAAACAAAGAAGAAAGAATTTTCAACCACTTTGACTGACAAGTAGCAGTGTAAACAAATAAATCGAGATTTTTAGCCCCGACCCCTAATGGCCAGCATCATTGGAAACTAGAGGCTCAGACCTTCCCAAGGAGGGGTCAGAGGTCATTGTGTGACCATTTCAGGTGATGTAACCAGCATGCATTACATAAGCTGCTCTGTTATTCTTATTTTCTGTTCAGGTTGGTGATTTTATTGGTAAATTTCAATTAAACAATCTTAGGAGCAAAGGCTTTACCTTCTGCAGAACGTCTTCAATAATGGAAATCAGCATATTTTTGTGGCCAGATTCCCTTTTATAGAATGCAATTTTGCACTATTGGCATTGTTCAAAAATTCCATTTCCTCCTAGCACCCTGCCCACTAAAACGTTTGTGGAACAAACATGCTTCAACTTATTTAGTCCAAATTAGCTTGAGTCAAGATCTATAAAGTCTGAGGGTTCATCCAGAGTTTCAAATGGGCTTTCATGGAGTTTTAAAGCGTTTTGAATTGTTTTTTCATTTTTTCCTTGTTTAATCTGATTGTTGTTATAAATCAGACATGGTGCCATTTAAAATAGTGGTTCCACCTGTAAAATATTCCTCAATGCCTTTCTGTCCTACAAATATAAACAATTGTATTTCCAATTTATAGTTTAGGAGCTGAACTTACTTTAATTCACATATTTAATTTTAGGCGGAATTTGCTCCTAAGACCCTCCAGGGCTTAAGGGGTTAAAGAGAGAAACCTCACGGATGAATGCTTTAGTGTGAACTGCTGGACATCATTTCTGATTCTCTGAACTCAGCCTCTCCCTGATGATTTTTTTTCTCTGTATTTTAACAACATGCATTTAATCCTCATAGCCTTTACTTGACCATGAAGGTCATCCAAAGTCCTCAGGTTATGCTGCACTGGTGCAGAAAAGAACCAGAAGATAAGCTGCAGACCCTGCCAACCTGCAGAATGCACTATTTATCCCACCTGCAGCAGGAAAACAGTTCAGGAACATTAAATCTAAAACTGGTTGAGTAAATCTTCTGGCTCTTCTTTGCTGAGATCTTTAATCTCCTCCCTAAATAGATTACTTAGATCCACCAGAACAGGAACAGCTTCTTACCAGAGCTGCGAAGGCAGGCGCCCCCTAAAGGTAGACAATAAACATCCCAACTCACCTTTACACACACCCACCTGCTGACCGTTAGTTAAACATCCAGCCTGTTTCAATGACTGCTTCAGCACAGGAACTATCATATTCGTATTTGAAAATGTAATATTTTTTTCTTCTGTTGATGTATTTCTATCGTCCAAGATCTTACTTTTCTTTCCTTTGCTTCATTCGTGTCTGTCCTGGTATTCTATGTGCAATCTGAGCTGGTGTCTCAACAAACTATCATTACTGTCACCTAATTCAATTCAAAATTCAATTCATAAATACTTAATTTAATTATTGTTTATGACAATAAAGTAGTGTTGATAACAAAATCAAAGATGAAAAAGTGCCCAACGGTTTGCGTCAGCATGCTAAGCCGTTTCTTCCCCTGCCTGCCAGACTGGAACAACTTTTAGAAATCTCAGCAAACAAAGATGACAGATGAGGTTCTCATTCATTTAACAGCAGATGTCTGTCACCCATCAGGATCCCTCAGCTCATGAGGAACGATCTTCTCCAGCATCCGCAGTGCGCAGACGCTAGGGCCGGGAATTTATCGCATCCAATTCAATGGCGGTAAAGCTTAAAAACCACCTCAGTGCAACACTGCAGGTGACAACAAGCACATATGTCCTGATGTCAGCATCTTCGGTTGGGGCACAGATTCTGAATATTTCATCCAGATGTCTGAAATGCATTTCTTCCAAGTCAAAATGAACATTTGGAGGATCTTTAGGTATTTGAAAGTATATTCTTACAATTTCAATCATATTTTTGGCTTCCTGAATTAAATTGTGCTGGCAAAAATGCAATTTATGATATCTATATGTATAGTTCTGACTAGTAAGAATGTAGTTTTGACCAAGAAGAATCTTATTTCAGAGATCAGCAAATGGAACAATAGAGAGGACAGCGCTCTAATAAATGTCAAATCAGCCTGCCATACGGAGCCGACATTAAACAACTCCCTGATAAACATGGATGTACACTCGTAGAAACAGGTTTAAGGAGGAATTTAGCCTGCATGGTATCAATGTTTTAATGGAACAGAAAGCAAAGGTATGTCCTGCATCGTTCTGCTGTTAGTTGTAGAAACAGAATTTAATTTCTGCTTACAGCTAAAGTTTTAACTACTAAAGGCTGCATTTCCTCCTTTATTCAATGAAAGTTTATGTTCTGCTCACACTTCTGTAAAATAGTCTTTAAATTAACTTAGATAAAATATGAGTATTTCTAAAAGATGCAAAATTATGATTATTTTCAACCAATCTGATGGTTAATTAACCTAAAAAATGGGTTTAAAACAATAAAAATATGTGTTGATGTGCTCATGTTTTAATACTGTCAATTATTTTGCTTCAAAGAGGGTTTGTCAATTTAAGAGGTTAATTTAATCAGTGTATTGTTTCCAATTAAAATGAAATTAAATAATAATTACAGACCAGGAGCATTTAAACAGCCAAAATAAAGCCCACCTTGGTGAACCATAAGGTTTTATTTTGTTTTATCCAACTAAACATTAATTCTATCTAATCTAATGTGTAATCTAATCTAACACTATAAAAAGAATATTTCCGTTACCCTCATATCTGCGCTGGTTGGTCTGTAGTAATCCCTCCTGAAGATCTCTGTCATGTTCTTCAGAACATCCAAGATGGCCAGCAGGTCGCCGCTGTAGCTCGTTCCATCACTGGATGTGACCCTCAGCTTGGTCAACACGTCTGAGACTCCATCTCCCACAAGGCCTCGCTGCGCCTTGGACAGATGCTCACGAGTCTGAAGGAGAAAGTTTCTGTTGGTGTCTCTGATATATTTATTTTCATGATCAAATGGATCCAGCAGTTTAATGGAATCCAAATCCATTTCCGGCTGCTGTCAGGTAGAACTTGAAGTAAATGTAAAACATTAAAATGAAACCAATGAAGCTGTCAGATTAACCTTAGCCCTGGCTGCCACAGACGGGCCAACCTTAGACCTGGCTGCCACAGACGGGCCAACCTTAGCCCTGGCTGCCACAGACGGGCCAACCTTAGCCCTGGCTGCCACAGACGGGCCAACCTTAGCCCTGGCTGCCACAGACGGGCCAACATTAGCCCTGGCTGCCACAGACGGGCCAACCTTAGCCCTGGCTACTGTAGACGGGTCAACCTTAGCCCTGGCTACTGTAGACGGGTCAACCTTAGCCCTGGCTACTGTAGACGGGTCAACCTTAGCCCTGGCTGCCACAGACGGGCCAACCTTAGCCCTGGCTGCCACAGACGGGCCAACCTTAGCCCTGGCTGCCACAGACGGGCCAACCTTAGCCCTGGCTGCCACAGACGGGCCAACCTTAGCCCTGGCTGCCACAGACGGGCCAACCTTAGCCCTGGCTACTGTAGACGGGTCAACCTTAGCCCTGGCTGCCACAGACGGGCCAACCTTAGCCCTGGCTGCCGCAGACGGGCCAACCTTAGACCTGGCTGCCGCAGACGGGCCAGTCTTAGCCCTGGCTGCCGCAGACGAGCCGACCTTAGCCCTGGCTGCCGCAGACGGGCCAGTCTTAGCCCTGGCTGCCGCAGACGAGCCAGTCTTAGCCCTGGCTGCCGCAGACGAGCCAGTCTTAGCCCTGGCTGCCGCAGACGGGCCGACCTTAGCTTTGGCTGCCGCAGACGGGCCAACCTTAGCCCTGGCTGCCGCAGACGAGCCAAACTTAGCCCTGGCTGCCGCAGACGAGCCAAACTTAGACCTGGCTGCCGCAGACGAGCCAAACTTAGCCCTGGCTGCCGCAGACGGGCCAACCTTAGCCCTGGCTGCCGCAGACGGGCCAACCTTAGCCGTGGCTGCCGCAGACGGGCCAACCTTAGCCCTGGCTGCCGCAGACGGGCCAACCTTAGCCCTGGCTGCCGCAGACGGGCCAACCTTAGCCCTGGCTGCCGCAGACGGGCCAACCTTAGCCCTGGCTGCCGCAGACGGGCCAGCCTTAGCCCTGGCTGCCGCAGACGGGCCAGCCTTAGCCCTGGCTGCCGCAGACGGGCCAGCCTTAGCCCTGACTGCCGCAGACGAGCCAATCTTAGCCCTGGCTGAGGTTAGCCTCGGAGGTCCACTGGTTGTGGAATTCCTCTCAAATTCTGAATTTTATTTTTTTTTTTATGCATTAAATCAGTAAATGGACCATATAGTGACGCTTAAAGTCTAATATTCTCGCCTCAAATGAACTTAAAATGTACTTTTATTGAACAACAGCAACAGAAAAGAGAACTTTTAACTTCATACTCTGAGCTCTGTGAGCGCTAACCAGGAAGCTGATGCTGCCGCAGTGCATGCTGGGACAGCTGTCAGTCTCAAGAAAGGACAGGTCTGCTCTTATGCATGCTGGGTAAAGAGGTTGGGGCGAGAAGAACATCCGGGGACTTTGTCTGTTCTCTGTCTTCTTATCCTTGTCAATTGGAACAGTACTAGGGCTGAGGCTGATGACATTTCACAGGAACACGAGTACATGAGAACGCACAAGTACACATATTGAGGAATGGCTAGTCTGCTGAGAAAGATAATGGCCGACAACAGCCATCCAAGAGTCTAGCAAAGACTACTCCCACCAAGAGAGTTTACCAGAGAAAAACACAAGGTAACAAATACGATGCGCCGATCTGAGTTTATTCCTGCCGATGGCGTCCTACTGACACTACTGACACCGATATGTGCCGCGTTCGGACTGAGCCTGGATCAGTTAAAGCTGGGTATACACTGTATGATTTTTTGCCCTTTTCGGGCCGATTCTCCAGTTGTACAATAATTTTTTTCGATCAGGCCAACTATCAGCCTCATGGTTGCGTCCTGCGTTGTGTTGCATATAGGGGACAACGAAGGGCGATCGGCCTCTCATGACCACCTCCCCAGCAGGAATTGTGAGGTCAGGTGAAAATCAAACACGTTTGAAATTCAGTCAAACCGTCGTAAGGCGGTTGTGGATAAATCCTGGTGTTGAAGCAGAGCTACGAGCCGATTACCAACACCTCGTGCACTGCACATCTGCAAACAAATGAGTAGTTTTTCTTCGTCTTCTTCCAGATTGATAAGTCCAACCAGTGCCATCTCTCTGCACTGAGTCTTATGTATGGTTTCTGGACGTAGAGTGTGAGCCGTTCAACGGAAGAACCAACATCTTGAGCTGTGAACTTTTAAAGCCTGCAATTTGATTGCACAGTTTGAGCTGTAGCTGAGTCAATGATTAAAAAATATCACACAGTGTATGCCTGGCTTAACCGTGCCAAGCTCGGTGCTTACGACCATTTACACATATGGCTAGCACAGTTCGCCTCCTATCGGCGATCCACGATACTACAGCTCTCAAGGCAGGAATTACGCAATACAAACACGGCAGCGTCCATAACATTCAGGAACTTATGTGCCTGGATAACGTCCTCCGCCCAAATTTCAATGGAGCCTTGGTCTCAGCATCATCCCAGGTCGCCCCATGCTTTTTAGATGCCTATTATTGTTAAAAGGCTGAGAAAAGGTTTGTGTTGTGAACAAGTGAAGAGATCTGTGAATTACAAAGCCGAACATGCTGGAAACCCCAATAAATGATTCCGCTTACTGTAAATAGGAGATGAGGCAGTCTGCTCATGTGCCGAGCCTGATGAACTAACTTTAGTGCGGTTAAGTTGTGTTTTGCACGGTCCAGTTCAGTTGAGTTCCATTTATACTCAACGGTTACCATGGTTACCGTACTCGGACAATTCTTGAGTAAATGGGACGGATGTCTACAGAAAAACTAAAAACTCTTAAAACTGATCAAAGCATAACTGGACACAAAGTTTTAAACATTTCAAACATTTCTGATGAAGACCTCATCTATTGAACCAGGCCAACAATTCCCTTTAACGACCCCCCTTTCAGAAGCATAGAGAGGTATGGGGCATTGCAGGCTAACAATGAAGCCAAATGAACCCCATCCCAAAGGGGTGGACCCGTTCATCCATTTCAATTTGCATGTTTTCTAAACTAAAACCAGGCTTTATTTTTGGTCCACTCTATAAAGCCTCAAACTCAACACTATTTCTGACATTTTGAATTGAAAAAGCTTCCTGGGTGGGAAGAGAAGCGACTTCAAGCTTTTTTGGAACATTTCTGAAGTTTCATCACAGTTGAGAAGAAATAAAAAATGGAAGAGTTTCACACAATTTGAAATGATGAAAAAGTTGTTCCTCTTCCTGAAAAAAAAACAACAGATCGCCTTGGTTTCATAGATCCCATTATCTACTAATAAACCCCTCAGGTTGGACGTATTGCTAGACCTAAAAGTACCTGTTCAAGGATAGAACCTGCGAATAATTAATAAACATATTTTCATGGAGCATGAAAGGAAAAGAACAATGCTGCTTACTAAGGTTTGAATACTGCGATAGTCATTGGAAATGCATTTCATATAGGTGGGTGTTTCCCAGTAGGCGATGCCCTCCTCATCCAAGGAGCAGCGGCGCAGGATGAGTCCTGTGTGGGGACACAAAGGTTCCTCTGAGGACTAGATCGCTTCATTTGGTCAGGCTTCTGTGAAATCATGAAGCGTAGGAGCTCACCCATGGCATTGGGAGGACAGCGAACAGCAGCCGTATCTCCAGCAGGAGTCATCTTCCATACAACGTTGGAGAAATTGTCCTCGCCACATATTTCATGAGGTTCTGTGGACAACACACAAGTAGAAACCAAAGGAGTCTAGGAAGAGATGGAGGACCCTCCTACACCCTGTGGGTTTAGCTTTCCCCCTCACTTACCTGGGCATTTCTTCTCATTGCAGTGACGGATCTCTTCTCGCTCTCCAGGACATGGCTGTCCTCCGAAGAAGGGCCCATAGCAAATCCTGGTTCTCTGCTGACTCCCCCCTCCACACGTTTTGGAGCAGCCGGACCACAAGGACCAAGGCTGCCACTTCCCATCCACTAAAATGACAAACGCAACACGTTCCAGTCACTGAAAAATTATTCTAAATGTGAGTTTATAGTTAAACACTAGATGTCCCAGAGAATTCCAGTTCTCCTGCAGCCCCCCTCCCTCTTCAGTTTGTGTATTCACTCTACCTTGCTAAGTGTCCTTGTTGTAATGCTAATAACCTGTGATGTGACCAGTCCTTCTACATGAGACTGGATAAGGCTGAAACAAACTGGCATCAGAACCAGAGCATGCTCCAAACACTTTTCATTACCTGCCCCTGCAACATCAGACCTTTTTGCAGGAATATATTGATAGGTCTAAATCTTTTATTTAGGCAAACCTATTGAACAACCAGATATCATACGGGTCCTAGTTCCTGAGCTGAGAACAGGTCATAACCAGCTTTTCCAACAAGGCAAGGCAGAGCCTATTTATATTGTTCATTCACCAACAGACTCATTTATATTGCAAAGCTCACTATGTGAAAGAAAGAACAACTTAGAGAATAATTGTATCTTGTCTTGTCTCGCCTTTTCACATCATTCAACATTTAAGCTTAGATAATGACAAACAGTATAACTTAAGTATAGGAGCAACATTAATTTCACCCAAGGAAAAGCTCTACATATGAAGCTACATTTGTCCCATTTAGCAGTTTTCACAAACCCAAGGTGAGTCCTTCCTGCATGTGTGACAGGTATACTTTGTGCAGTGAACACAATGCTCAGTGCTGTGGTTCCTGTTGCAGAGGTTGCACACCTGGCCTGCTTATAGTAACAATGAAAAACATCTTTAAAAAATAGAGTTTAGCATATATTCTAAAATTAAGAGCTGTAGTCTGAACTAGATGAGGTTTTCTATGTGTGCTATACGTTTGGAGGCACTACAATGATCTATAGTGTAGTCATTGTTCATTTTATACTTAATCTAATAAATAAAATAGGAGGTGCCATTTTTCATTTAGGCTTTGAGAAATTCTTCAAAAAAGTATTATTTTTTAATCAAATAAATGTGATAATAATCCACCTCTCCTTGGTGATGCTTTTAAATATTTATCTCTGATTATTTTGCAGTAGTTGGAGTAATGATCTGATGGAGCACTTTCAGATTTTTTTTGTTTAAATAGAAATTTTCCTTTTTCATCTATGTTGACAGAGCTGCAGAGAACACGGTTTGGATGTTTGTTGGGATCCTTCCATCGTCGAATCCACTACAGCTTCCACTGGATATAAATATATGCTTATATGGTTAGTTTCAATGAATAACATCTTGACTAAAACCGTTTTTTATGCTGTAGATATTATAGATTTACCATGTTGTTATAATAAAAGAAAATAACCATGTATGTTAGTTTTTAGAGGTTATTTTAATGAATCATACAGTTAAAAAGCAGCTCTGACCAGAAGCAGGTTGAAATTTTTTTATGTCAAATTGACATTTTAAGTTTAGGTATTTGCTTCTAGCTGGTCGTCTCTGAGCCTAAAGGAAGATCCACATTTGTTCTTAGGACTGCCTGAACTAAAACTGTAAGCTAATTATCACTGGGCTTCTAGAGTGATGGGAGGGCAGATGATGATTTACTCAGGATTCCTATTACCTTGGTTATAGGAAAGCTGGGGCCTTCAGTGGGAAAAGGGGCTATAAAAACAGAACAGCACTAAAACAAGGAACACATCTAGTGTCCAGGAACATGGATCACCCTCTGTTGCTGCCATACATGTGATCGCAGCAACAGAGGGGCTGCAGTTATACACGATGGCGGACTACTAGTAGTGAGTGTTGGGGGAGGGTGGCCTAGTGGTCCCTGAGCAAGACCCTTAACCCCACACTACTCAAAATCCAAATAACCCCACAATGCTTAAACTTTCACGGTTCAGAGATTTTAAAGGGAAAGAACTTTTTTCAAAATCAATCTTATGTTGCTCATGTTAACTGACTTTTTCTGTTTCTATATTTCCTTCATTTTCAAAGCGAATGCTAAGAGACAAATGCAATTAGAAGGTCACCTCAAGAATTGCAAAACAATCAGGATAACTATATTGATACATTTAAACCTAAATGCTCTGATGGTCTAAAACCAAAATCCACTGTGAAAAAATATATTTTTCAGGATTCATTATAAGGCCATATTATAAACCTCTGTTCCTTAATTTGATTCATTGCTGCATCAAAACCATCAGTGGCTTCTAGGGCTGGAAGAAAATGCACAGACAGCCAGAGTCAATCAGCTGAACTGGGGTGATTACGTCCCGTCTTCTGGCAGCAGCACTTGGGTTTGAACTACTGTTCAAACCCAAGTGCTGCTGCCAGTCAAATGTTTAAGAAGTTGCAAAAGTCTAATCTAGAGGTTATGAAGCCATGGTCGGGGTAAAATGAAAAGTTCAGACACAATACGTCTAAAAATAGAGCCACAAAATAAAAACTGCTACTAAGGAAGCTCTGTCAGTTTCTAATGTAGTGAAGCTAAATGGGAAACGGGGAAAGTTTATTCTGCTATCACTGTTAACAGATTAGCAGCAGAAACATGTTCACCAGGTTATAAATTATTATCAGATTAGAAAAGCCCCAGATGAACTAGGAATGTTTCTACCTGGACAATCCCCCAGGAAGCAGTCAAAGGTCTCCAGCCACTCTCCCCTGCACTCCGAGCCGCCATACGAGGGGCCGTTGCACTCCCTCGTTCTCTGCATGGTCCCGTTGGAGCACGTAGCAGAGCAGGAGCTCCAGCTGGACCACTCGTTCCAGACTCCGTCCACTAAAGCCGCCGATTGTGGTCAACCAAGACATTTGGAAGTTGCAAAATGATTTAAAGTGGAGAAAACAAGGATCTAATATATCTAGATATATGCTGTTATCTATATTGTGGATATCACAGATGGAACATGGAAATCTCTGACCCTCTCATGGCGAAAACAGACATTATGGTGACATTGGTCGATCTTACCTGGGCAGACGGCTATGTTGCAGAACTTGGTCTGTTTCTCCGGTCCGTCGCAGGGATCTCCCCCAAACTGGGGGGGAGTGCAAGTCCGTGTTCGGGACCTGTAACCTCGGCCACAGGTGGAGGAACACAAACTCCACGGTGACCACTCGTCCCATGCGCCGTGAACTGCAATCAGAGCGGCTATGGTGCGATTTAGAACACAGATGCACAGGCCCTCTTTTACAAAGTGTCACAGCACCTGGTGACCCATATGCTTCTGGAGATCGTGCAGACTGAATGCCATTACTGTCTGCTTCCATAGGAGCCTGACGACCCTTTAGACCCTTCTCTACTTAGAGAGAGGCATAAGGAGGGTCTTATAATAGTGATGCAGGGGCAGACAAAGGGGCTGACGGCCAGAAGGAGACAAGAGCAGGTAAATGTGAGGGAAATGGGGGAGGGGCTTACCTGGACAAATGGCTGAGTTGTTGCAAGGTCTCTGCTCTCGCAGCGGCCCACTACATTGGGTGCTGTAGGAGGAGGACACACAGAAACGAGTGCGACTCTGCCAGCCCTCCCCACAGGTGGCAGAACACACACTCCACGCTGACCACTCCTCCCCTGAGGTGGAGTCTACTGAGGAAGAGGGAACAGGTAAAGGATGGGAGGATTGGAAAGAAAAAAAAAGGAGAGGGCTGTGACTAATTAACATGCAGGATGCAGCCTCCAGGGCCAACACAAGAGGGACTGTGGTATTAAACGCTAGCATCTTTCCCTGCCACATTTCAGGGGCAGCTTTCATCAAACACATTTTTGTTTCTTGGCATATTAAACTGCAAAGGATCAGTCATACAAACAACACAACTGATCATTCAAAAGGAAAAGATTATTTTGAGAGCCAATAGGGAACAAAGTCTCACGCAAGCAACCCCTGAAACGGACCAACATCGGAGCTTCTTGTGCTCTGCTATCTGTCAGGTTCAGATGTCATATCCTTTGCATTGGCTTGGTGTTAAAGGAGACGCCATTGCCTTAGGATATGCCAGTCATATAAATAGATGGGTCAGTGAACCAATTAGATAAACCTGGACAGTCACAGGTGGGTCAGGAGAGAAGGGATGCCTGTTGGACTAAGGGAGCTAATTAGCACGTTAAAGTGACGCCTCACTCAAAGTCATAACCTGGGTAGCGTTGGAACTGACAGCTACTTGAAGGATTGTACTTTTAGAGTCTCAAACAAATTTTAGACAAATGAAGCTAATGCACAGATGTAGAGCAGATAGATCAGTTTGATTGCTGACCGTTTACAGCAACAAGGATTAACCCTCTGGATTAGGGTTAGCTGTGTTGCTCAGCTTCATGTTGAGGATCGCATGGCCCAACACAGGAGAGCGACCGCTTCGGGAAAAGTTTCTGCTGTCCATCTACACCTTATGGACAAAGGACATTCTTTTAGGACCAGAATGTTCACATTTTGGACAAAGAAGACAGGTGGTCTGAGAGGGGTGCGAAGGAAGCCATCTATGTTAAGAAGGCTCAGGTTTCAGCTTTCAAAAACCTACAATGCAGCGACAGAGTTGAATCCTTCCTCCTATCTTCTCAACCCCAACACCATATAGGGGAACAGAAGACCTCCCCTATTCAGCCAGGCCAACAATTCCCTTTAACAACCCCCCTTTCAGAGGCATTACAGGCTAACAAAGAAGCCTACCGACCCCCATTCCAAAGGGGTGGAAAAACAAGGCTTTGTTGGGCTACTGTATAAAACCTGGAACTCAACACTAATTCTCACATTTTGAGTTGAAAAAGCTTCCTGGATGGAAGAGAAACATCTTCAAACTTGGAAACAAATTCCAGTGGATTGTCTTTGAACTTTTTTGGCATGTTAGAGATCCTTTCTCTAACCAGTATAGCCTAGCGTCTCTTCCACAAAAAGTGGTAGGATCTCTAATATACTACTGTAACAATTAAATCGATGAGCCATGAGACTCACTGGTAGGGTAAAAAAATCACATTGATAGTGTTACTAAGGTTAACAATTAAACCACATGGTTGCAGAAATTCAACAATTTGTTCCCTTTTTGTTATATCTTCCCTTCTCTCAAATTAAATTTTCTGTCTGCTTACTTTCAAACGTGAAAGTACAAAAATGCTTCAGAGTCAATCTCATACTAGTAGAGAAGTTAAAAAAGAACCTAAACTATGTTATGAAACCACCACAGTTAGCTACACATTTACCACCAGAACATAAACCTGCTGGTCAGGTGAGAAGTGAAGGGAGGCAAACCTTCCCTGAAAACTTATCTTTCATCAGCCAGGGTTTCATTATCACCAAGCTATTCATCCAGATATATATTTAAATCCAAAAGTGTAAAAGCGAACAGCAGTCTAGAGTTGTACGGTTTGACTGGTAATACGAACACATTCAAGATCAGATTTAGGGAATCAAGTAGTCATGGTATAACTTTGAACAAGCTGATAATGTTCTGCTAGCCTGAAGAAAAGCTACTCCATTCCTCTGGGTTTGGGTTTTTGTATAGAGAATTTTCTTTCCTGATGATCCTTCCTCTGCTGGTGCCATGTGATGGTAACATCTACACGCTATGGTTTACTGCTGAGGCAGAGAATTGCAGTCAGGTGAAACACAGAGTTACAGTAGCAGCCATTCAAAATGGCCCCTTCCAGTCAGACACCAGCAAATGGCAGCTAACTCCCCTGCAACTCCCAGCAAAATCCCTTCGAACTTCCAGTCACTGCAGTGCCCCCTCTTGCATATTTTTTTACTCTGACTCCACCCTTTCACTGAATTACAGGGTCTGACCAGGAGATTGCGCTTCTCTTTAGATCTTAATGTCCACAAATCATGACAGAAAGAATATTTTAGTAAGAAGATTGAATTTTAGAAAGGAATTGTAGGGGACAAGCCAAGGACCAGCCAAGGACTGGCCAAGGGCCGGCCATGAACCAGCAAAGGACTGGCCAAGGACCAGCCAAGGACCGGCCAAGGACCCGCCAAGGACCGGCCAAGGACCAGCCAAGGACCCGCCAAGGACCAGCCAGGGACCAGACAAGGACCAGCCAAGGACCAGCCAAGGACCAGCCAGGGACCAGACAAGGACCAGACAAGGACCAGCCAAGGACCAGCCAAGGACCAGCCAAGGACCAGCCAAGGACCAGCCAAGGACCGGCCAAAGACTGGCCAAGGACCCGCCAAGGACCCGCCAACGTCTGGTCAAGGACCAGCCAGGGACCAGACAAGAACCAGCCAAAATCAACGGACTGTTGACATCAGGACTGGAGGTATCACTTTGGCTATGTTCACACTGCACAAAAGTTTAGATTTATATCGGATTCAGGACCACATAGCAAAGTGGCCTAGGTCGCATTGGAAAAATTGGATCGGAGGGGGTCAGGCAGGTCGCATATGGCCAAATAAAAAGTTATTTCGGTCACTGTGCGAACATAGCCTTTGTGAAAGGCATCAGAGCAGCTCAGCGCTTTACATTGAGCATTGCACTGAGCGGTGCTGTCAGCCGCCCCAAGATGGTGCCGCCAAATAACGTCAGCGGTCACAGGCGAAAGCCGTTGATGCGGGATCTACTCTTATACTTATGTCTATGGAGACCTGTGCTCTGCTATTTAAAGAGTTTGTCCCGAGTGATCTCTTTTCAGAAAAGAAGCAGGAAAAGAAAGCGTCAAGGTGGAAACAGAGCTTTCCTTAACAAAATGGTGTTTCCTACCCAGACCTGAAGGAGATGCATCACTGATCTGTGTGTTTTAACAGTAAAGTGTTTCATTTAATCAAAATCTGCTCTACTTCTGTTAACATGAGGCTTTGACATCAGAATAAAAGGTGAAGCTTTCAGGCAGTTGATTAAAGCTTTGTCTACGTGCAAGTTTTGACTTTGGTGCAGCATCACTTTACCAGCGAGGCGGGACTCTGCAGGATGTCCTGTTTTACGCAGCGTCACTATGTTTAGTCAGGGTCCATGTTGGAAGTAGTCCGCTGTGGACAAGGCACTGCTGTGGGAGATTTTGAATGATGTGTATACTTAAGGTGCGTCACAGCTGTATGTTCTAGAAGTGAACTGGTCACCCAAGCTGCCACAGTGACTGATGCACGGGATCCCTCTGCGTCCGTTGTCTTACCTGTCTGAGGGCTCTGCTGTCCGCCGCGCGCCTTCTCTGCGTCATCACGCTTGCGGCCGTCCACCGAGCGGAGAGACTGGCTGCGGGAGAGATGGCGACCTTTGCCTAAAGGAGGATGAGGCAAGGCCAGGAGGGGGAGGAGGGGGCGGGGTTAGCAACCAGAGCTCCTTCATCAACCATTTATATTTGGGACACAACCGAGACGTGATTGGTCACCCAGAACAGCATCAGCCAAACTTGGGACTTGTGTTGTGCTCTTGGTGTTAATGTGTTTTTTTTTCCTTTGTGTATTTTGTTCAGTGGTGTAATGCAGGGGATAACTGCCTTAAAGTACATTTAAACCCATCACAGCTGCTGTGAGGAAGAGAAAAGCATCCGCCGCTCTGCAAAGAAGCTTTAAGCTGTCAAACATTTCAATGAAAGCACTTTTACTTCTCTTTGAATAACCTTTGAAAAATCAGCCAAGCACTCAGACGTTCAGCGCCTGAGTCCTCGTTTGAAGATTTAAAGAACTTGGAAAACATTTGGTTCTGTCATCCTTTGGACATAAAAAAGGTATAAAATGCCATTTTTCATTTGTTCATCAATCAAAGTCCCCTTTCCAACATGCACTCCTTAAATCTAAATTTTCAGACACGTAAACAGATGAACAAGTTAGTCAGAGAGATATGCAAAAAATAACAGCTTTAAAACTTCTGTAGCTCGGCGAGTTTCATCGGTGGAGAGAAGAGAAAGCATGGGGCGAACACTAACCCAGGCAGGACTGGGAGTTGCAGGGCCGACCTTCCTCCACTACACCCTCACACAGGAAAGACTCTTCTGGAGGAGAGCGACAGCTCCGAGCCCGGGATTGGATTCCTCCCCCACACTCACTGCTGCACTGCCCCCAGTGGCCCCAACCACTCCAACCACCTGCAGACACAAACACAACCCAGAGAAACACTCATTTCTAAACATTCAGAACAAAACTTTTCTCTACTAAACCTTTCATATTCATGTCCTCTGGGACTCGGAGTCTCAGCAGAGACGCCCGGACTTCCTTCTTCCCAGACACCCTCTCCAGCCTCTCCTGGGTTGTCCCCTGGGCCTCCATCCATCGGGCCGTGCCTGGAACGCCTCAGAGGGAGGAGTCCAGGAGACATCTGATAAAGATCCTCCTCAGCTGACTCCTCTGGATGTGGAGGAGAAGCAGCTCTACTCCAAGCCTCTCCGTGATGTCCAAGATCCTCCCCCTCTCTCTAAAGCCTCTTTCCCACTGAAAATAGCGGGTTGATGCGTGTTTTTAAAACATGGGTCTACCTGCTAACAATGGCTCTCCTCCCACTGCCAAAATAACTTGTCTAACCTCTTGCTGGCAGCTGAGTGCTATCTGACCCAGCCCCCCCCCCCATAGCTGCGTGTCTGGTGACATCATCACGCTAGGTTAGTGTTGATGTCATCAGCGCTACAGAAATCAGGAAAGTAAACAATGGAGAGCAGCATGGAAGGAAACCATGGCGTAGTCAGTGTGTTTTCTTGTTTCTCTCTATTATCTGTCTGAATCCGTCTCACCAGAGCTGCTCCATGTTTATCCAATGGAAACAGAGTTGATTCTGCTTAGATCAGAAGCGACTGGTGCTGTGTTTTGACGTCTTTACGATGTGTTCAATGGTATCACGTAATTTAGCATGCAGGTTAGAGCAGAGGTGATTTTAACTCTGGTCGCTTGCCGAGTCGTTTAAACCAGGTAGACACGCGTCAGTGAGCTGATCCCACTGCCACTAAAGGCCGATTGTTCCCGGGTTTAAAAAGGTTTTACAGTTTTTTTATGTATTTTACAGACAGTGGACAAACGGCTTTACCTCATGGAGATGATGACAGTTAAAACCTACAGTTAGCAGCAGGCTGATGAATGTGAATCGCTCAGTTGATCCAGAGCTGCTCTCTGGAGGACTTTTCCTCTGTGTTTCTGTGTTGGTTTTTCAGTACTTGTTGTATCTGCAGTGTGTTTGCACGCCTCGGCCAGTTTGGCTGTTATCTCCTCATAATCAGGCTGTGCTTTAAACTCATTTTTTTGGTTAAATCGGCAACTTTGTTAAAAACATTAAAGACATTGCTGAACAGTGACCCTTCCTGTGAATTCTTCCTACATACCCCTTAAATCCTCTAAATAAAAATCTATGACCACGGCTTCCCATTTTCACAATAACAAAGGTCAGATTGAGGAACTATAGGAGACCTCGCTGCCATCCATCACAGCCTGGTGTCCAAAAACTAGTTTCCAAAGTTCCAAAGAGCACAAAAGGCATTAAGGCAATCATCAAAGCAGATGCACGGAGGATAAGGCAGAGCGTGAGCAAACACTATGAAACTAAGCTGCAAGCAGATGAAACAAGCATCACAGACTGATGCGTATCTTGCAGTGAAAGAGCATCTGAAGGGAGATTTTTTCCCTGTAAAAGCATGGTGTGATGAATGCCATTGTCATTGTCAAATTCCCTGTTTGGCCATTCTGACTTAATGCTGGCCATTAAGATGTGTGCTGATATGAGGAGGATGGGCTGAAGTGCTGCTGAACGACTCTGCGTCCTGCAGGCTCATAAATGTTTAATGGCACAGACAGATGCCTTTAAGCCCCACAGGCAACCACAAATATGTATTAATCTGCATGAATAGAACATGAAGTGGCCCACATCCAGGTGCACAGTTTTAATTACTCGCAAATCAATTTCCTTTAGGGGCGAGTGTGGAATGGGGGGCACTGTGAAGAGCACTTGATCAGTGCAAAGAGTCATGAATAGTGTCACAAACACATGTCTGTCTGTCTTTATAAGGACTTTGCATTAATTTCCATTAATTTCTACATTCTAACCCAGACCCTGACCCGACCCCAAACATTAGCGACGCCATAGATGGACAATCATTCAGCATCAATACATATAGGAGTATAATTGAATCACATAACAGGGATATATTTCTAATATTCTACTATGATCACAGTATTTGTCCCTGAGTGACATTCTGGGTTGGTCTACTTTCATTTTTCTATTTTTCGATCCACCTTTTCACCACAGTTCAAATATAAAGCCATGTCATTATATAAAAATTAGCTAAAGCTAATTTGCTTTAAAAAAAACACCTAATTTTGGGTTATCCTCATCTCTTTTGCATACCCAGATGAAAAAGCAAATAACTGAGGAACTTTGAGCCCAAATTACATGTGTGGTACATCATTCTAAGGCTAACAGTTCCTGAAAATATAAACGAACAGCCTAAACTGCTTCAGTTCAAACATGACTCCAATTTGTTCTATTTTCTTCTCAAAAAATGCTTGAGAATAGGCAGGTCTCATTGTATTACATTTGTTCTACATCATGTCAACCACATATGCAGATTGTTTCAGACCCCTAGCTATAACAGTTCCAGAGCTGTGGGGCTTTGAACCTTTGTTGTCACCAACGTCTCCAAAAATCTCCAGATTATGCCGAATGTTTTAACTCAACTATTTGACCCATAGAATACCACTGAAGCATTTTGATGGCCACAAAAGATTTATGAAGCAAGTTTGTTTAGATTTTTAATTTTTTTTTATCCTATTATTGACTGGAATATTAAATTCAATGAAGTTTATTTATATAACTCAAATTCACATCATGTCATCTCAGGTCACTTTCCAGTTCACCAGATCATCCAGTCAGATTGATTCAAAGTTTTCTATCTAAGGAAAACCAGCTGATTGCATCGACTCATTGACTCTTCAGCAATCCCTCACACTAAGCATGCTTGTAGCGACAGTGGAGAGGAAAAACTCCCTTTGAACAGGAAGAAACCTCCAGCAGAACCAGGCTCAGTGTGAGCGGCCGTCTGCTGTCCCTGACTCAAATTGAGTCAAACAAAGATGCGAACACATTTGTCTTGTAGGTCAGAAGATGATGTAAAAAAACAAAACAAAAAAACAATCATCACAGACAAACATTTGAGGAAGTAAGTCTTATTAGAAATATGCCAAGAATTAGCTATGACCGGCTAAAGAAAAAAAACAGATGGTATGTGGCAATTTTCTCATCATGGAATATTTCTATTATGAATATGCAGAATTACTTTTAATCTGTGGACCCTTATGGAAGAATAACGTATAAACAATTGAAGATTGGATTTATAAAACGGCTTCAGGATGCGTTCACAGGTATGTTTTTGAGGCTGCTTTGCGATGTATTCCATGTTACCATGCTGCTATATCTGTGTTAATTGTGCTTTGGTGCTCACTGTGTCCATAAAATGGTGGCCAGCAACCGGGTGGATTTTAGGAGGATAAAGGTGACAGAACCAGATCAGAGGAGGCAAAATCTCACTATCTGATTGGCAGGGATGGGAAGTAACGAAGTACAAATACTTCGTTACTGTACTCAAGTAGATTTTTCTGATATTTTTACTTTACTTTACTACTTATTTTTATGGCGACTTTTTACTTATACTCCTTACATTTTTACACAAATATCTGTACTTTCTACTCCTTACATTTTAAAAAATTGGCTCGTTAGGCTACTTTAGTTTTGAATCATTTCAATGGAGTTACCGTTATTATTTTTCACGTCATCAATACCAAATTCAATCTAATTGGATGGGAATCTACGTTGGATTTGACGCACCACTACAAGATGAATCGACAGATTCGGCGGGATTCATTGGCGGCAAATCATTGCAGCTTGGTGGCGGTGGCGTTAGCATAGTAGCATGGACGACGAGATGATTGAAAATGAACACAACGGAGATCTAGTCCTATTGGCAGACATCCATTTAAAATGTAGGCAACGGCATGAAAAAAGTGGTTTCTACTTTTACTTTTATACTTTAAGTAAATTTACAAGCCTGTACTTTGTTACTTTTACTTGAGTAAAGAAGTTTAATCAGTACTTCCACTTTTACCAGAGTATTTTTTAACACAAGTATCTGTACTTTTACTCAAGTACGGAAAGTGAGTACTTTGCCATCTCTGCTGATTGGTTCAGTGGGTTAGTTATCTACTCTCTGGATATCTACCTTAGAGGGGTTATTTTTCCCTCTGGTGTCCGTGCCTGTTGGAGACCAATAAACTGCTCATTCAAACTATATAACTGTCTACTTGTTTATACAGACAGTGTGGAAGAACTCACAAAAATCAGACTTTTTACCTATATTCTCAGTTTCCTCTGAAGGAATTATGTGTCTGCTGCCTCGTAGGAGCTAAGCGGCGGTAACTGAGCATGTGCTGGAGGATTCACAGCATCAGTCCAGCTAGATGGAGAATGGTTACATGAACAACTGACCCACTCTCCTCCACACTTCCCCAGCAAGAAAGGAGAAAAAGTAACCAAGAAAGGCAATAATTGGGAGGAAACAAAAGGCCTTGTCAGGTTAGCTTTCACCAGCTGGAGACAGTTAACGAGGGGGCGGAGCTTTAAAACAGATGTTCCAGGTCTGTGTTTTTCAGAGAGCAGTGCTGTCCTGCAGCTACCATGTCCTCTCTGCAGAGATGGCGGCTTTGTTAGAGAGCCTTCGCCGGATTACTCCTTACAGAAGTCGGACCAGCAGGCGGCTGGACGCCTGTTTCAGCTGCATTTTCTGAGAGCCTCATGTTTCAGGGTTTATTTGATCCGATTTATTAAGGATGATGTCAATTTATTTAATCTTTTAATCACTTTACCTTCAAAAAACAACATCTATTCCTGTGTAATCTCCACGGAGGCCTCAGGCCTTATCAGTGTTGAAGGAAAAGTCAGCAGGAATAATCAATGGATCATTATTTATACCTAAAACTAATATGTTCACAGTGATCTAATAAATTTAGCATTAATTAGTAAAAAGATAATAATTTTCGTGGCAATCGCTGAGTCTGGGAGCGGCCATTTTTGCCCAAATATAGTAGCCCCTCCCTCCTGCCATCTTCCAGCAGT